GAACGTTAAAGCCAGGTTCGTTTAGGATTGGTTTTTTTGATGCAGTTAGGGTTATTTGCTTTATAAAGATATCAAAAACACAATTTATGCAATTTGTAGATCATTATGTAAACGAACCTGGCTTTAACGGACCTCATTTTAGAGATTGCTTTCGACGATCCCTGCAGTATAGAGATACAACATACCTAAAACAGTACGGATAGACAAGCCAAAATTATAGTTCGCAAATGATAAAAAAAATATTACATTTATACACTTTTTATTAACATATTTTACATATATTAAAAACATTATTAGAAAGATAATATATATAAACGGATTATTATTATAAAATCTCAAACCCTGATTAGTTGGCTCATTGCACCATTTTGCTGCGGGATCCCGTATTCTAATAGACAAAAATTAAGAAAAAACGAGGCATAACTTATTGGGGTGTATCATGCAAGCCTATTTACAAACATAGTGCAGGTGTATAGTGATAATTATTAATTGGATTTTTTTATAATAGTGTAATATAGTAAAAACATATAAATTCAAACTGCAATAACTCTTGAACCAGCAAGTTCGCACAAATATATTGCACTTGTCAGGTTCATTTTAGCATGCTCTTTAAAGTAACAAAGCCTTTTTTTTATTTACCTTTATTGTTTAAAGCATAGCGGGTGTCCCAATTTCCATGAAATTTGTCGTCTTTGATTTTTTTTAATAAAAAAATCAAAAGCGTAACTTTAAATTTTTTGTTGATCACCGTTGCAGTATACAATACGCTAACCAAAAAAATTCAAATTTATGTTTTTAATGTTATTATTAAAAAAAATCAAAGACGACACTTTTGCGTGAAGATTGAGACACTCGCTATGTTCTAAACAATAAAATATATATAAAAAAAGGCGTTGTTACTTTAAAGAGCATTCTAAAATGAATCCGACAAATATAATTTTACTTGTGTGGACTTGCTGGTTCATGAGTTATTGCAGTTTGGATCTTATATGTTTTCTATTACTGTACACAAAAATTTAATTAATGATTTTCACATAAAATAATCGGTTATTATAAAATACAACTAACCCGTAAATGGCATAAAACGACACAGATCATACTAAACCGAATACAATTTCATGAGAGAATTATGACCAATCAGAAGACCGTATTTGTTCACATCATTTCATTCCACTCCCCGGATAACTAAATTATGATTTTAAAATGATTTATGTCAATTCAAAATTAGCATAAATACTAAAATGACATAAAATATATAAAACAAAAACCAATAAAAAATGTTGCACTCCACATTTTATTATTACCGTTGGACAGTAAATATACTATATTGACAATCATGGGAGATGCTTCAATTTTCTTATGATCATAGTTGACCAATAAATTAATGTATCCAAACTTACTAGACATACTACACTAAAAAAACAGGGCTTATCCCAAAGCACTTAATAAACTCCCGCCAACAACATGATATACAGTATAAAGAAGCTACCAAAATGCTATTTTTTATGTCAGAGAAAGTATGAACAAAATAGTACGTTTAGTCGTTTTTAAAAACGCTAAAAATTTTTAGAGATTATCAATCATTATAAACTACTGGATCATATACAGAGACAGACTTGGTAAATCAGTTCTTTAGCAATTTGCAGATTAACAGTTTTGACAGGATTGGTTGTGAGAGGTTCAACTGTATAAAGAGTAATGCTGATTTGTAGTTGGTTTTTTTTTCCGAATCCTATAACTTTTTATAGAAGGCTTGTTGATTACAGGGTATTATTTTTGGGCACAACTTAATTCAAACTCAATAGGGAGATAGCCTCCAACTCACCTAGCATTACACTCAAATCAGTTTCGTAATAGTATTTGGAAAATTAAATTTAAGTTATTTTATTTGAAATATTATTCAAATTATAGATCGAAACTTAAGGCCATATAAAGCTAATTAATTGTTTCTCATAACACGGCCGGGTCAACTTTTGTAAATTTGTAAATTATTTATTATATACTTCCGGGTGAGTTTTAATAAAATTTTTTATACGTTATTAATATTTTCTAGACAAAGAAAAAATTATAAAATTTTTACGATTTAAAAATTAAAAGCCGGTTGGCGGATCACTTTTAGAATTCTGTTATGATTTATATAAATAAATGTTGAAATTAAGATTTATATAGATAAAAACTAGCCATTAAAAATAATAATAATAATAATGAAATTATAAATTCACTGTTCGAATCATTATAATTAATCTATGGTTCATATTTCACAATTATTTTAGTTTATTGTCAATAAAAGGTGCTCTTATTACTTCTACTCAATGTTTCAGAATATTTTTTGCTTCCTCCAAATTTTTTATATCTTCCATCATTTTTTGAAGCGGTACAAAGTTTGATTCAACATTTTTTTTGATTCGGAAGTTCAAGTAAAAGGTCTATATAACATAAAATAAATAATTTTGTTGCGCACAGAATGAATAATATAAGGTGTTAATTTCCATTTCAGGTTCTCGAAAGAATTTTTTTTTACTTTTACAAAAAAAAATTTTATGTCAATGAAAATATCATTTACATTAACTTATATCTATCAAATCGGTAACGGTGCATAACTGATTTGGGTGATTATACTTGGTCAATTGGGCTCTTTGCCTTGAAAATCACCTTCCGACATTTCCGATCGGGTTAATTCGGACAAAAACAAAGTAGTATATTAATTCATGTTTATATGTAAACCCTCTTTTGTCTTTAAGGTTCAATATAAATTTTTGAATCAATAAAGGCAAAAGGAGATACAAATATAACGTGAACTAATATGCGGATTTGTTTTTGTCCGAATTAACCTGATCAGAAATGTCGGAGGGTGATTTTCAAGGCAAAGACCCCAATTAATAAACGGGAGAATGACTCATTTATTCCCCGCGAAACGGGAATAATGATTGTAACGTCAGCAAATGAATATGATATTGTGCACATATTTCAACTTTTTCGATAGTTATCTGTATAGCTTCCGTTAGGGACATGCTTAATTCTGTATTCTGCAAATCTGTGTGCCTCATAAGTTTAAAGATTTACTTACGCCCTTCAAAAAAAAAAGAAGAAAAGGATATAAATATTCGTATTAAAATAGATTCGAATTTCAGTACCAATCGTGACAATAATTGGTATGTGTCGTTGATCTCATTTAAATTTTAATTGCTTTATGCATATAGCTAATCACAGCTAATAATGCGAAACTTTCCTTCTAGTGATCTACAAACTTAGTCTTAACCTACCTAGGCATTTGTCGATGTATAAGCTAACCGCAATCATATATAATATCATTGAATGTATACGCAATATCCAATATAATAATGAATTCTGAACAAGACGAATTAAAAAATTTTAAATTTTATATTAGTCCCGTATAAAAAAGAGTTATAGTCTCAATATATATATATCATATATATAGTATATATATAGCGAACTTTTTTATGTAAAATCAGCATCATCAATTTTTTATATTAAATTTCATCATGGAATCCGATTCTATCTCTAAACATTATATTATTTTATCGATTGCTGTTATTTCCAGTATTGTGAATTGCACTTGCTTAATTTACATCATTCTGAGGTTATTGAGGCGATGGTGGGTAACTAAGAGACCTTTAACGATGTCTCAAAGAGTGCCATTTTATATCGCACTTAGTGGTATGTAATTCATTCTCTAAAATATCCAACTACTGTATACCAACATATAGATCGCCTAACATCTTTTTTCGCTACCAAATAAATTAGAATTCTTATTATTTTGTATCCACCTAGTAAACGGTGTACGTATTATTTAAGTTAATTCTAAAAATTTTATATCAAAATATTAACTTATCTCTGATATTAAGACATATTCGATCATTTATAATCAAACACTTCAAGGGATAGCATGTAATATAATTGGTGGAATATCATTTTTCTTTTTCTCATCTAATGTGACTCTTATTGGAGCTTTGTCCTTGACGACTTATCTTCGAGTATGTAAAGAAATCGCTATTTGCCTAGGGAAATATGATTATAAATTCATTTTGGTCATTTTATCAGTATCTTTAATAATAACCTTAATTGGAATTGAAGATTATGGTCAGAGTAAATATTGGTATGTTTTTGCTTGTGATATATTTGTAGCATTGAGAGGATTCATCAATACTTATATTTATTATTTAACAGGTGTTATACTAATCCCAGTAATAGAATAACACCATTAATAACTACTTCATTGATATTCCTAATATTACTCGTTATATTATATTGTTATATAATGACTATAATGGAAGTATATGTTAATATCAAGAAATTTGGTTCTAAACTTAGTCAAGTTGATATTATTGTTGCGAGAAAAATTATCCTTTATATCTTAATCTTCCTTTTAGAATGGTCTCCCGTGGTGATTTTTTTAATATCTCGAATTTTTAATGTACGTATAATTATAAGGATTATTATTCTTCTCTTGTAATCCAGAACTTTATAAGTCATCATTGCTCACTTTTTTTTTTTTTTTTTTTTAGTATGATAATATATGGATTCATATTGTGGCGGGGCTTTCTGTAAACATTGGCGGAATAGGGAATGCAATCCTTTTTGTTATATATGAAAATTGAAAAAGTAAATACAGTTCATAAACATCTTGTGACTCTAATAATTTTAAATAAAATAACAAACAGAAGTAGTTGCATCAAATAATGAAGTAGCAATTACATCAATTAATCTGGTTTTAGAACAACTGAATAATGAATTATAACTTCAATAAATTTAGATGTATTATAATAACGAAGAAAATGCTTTATTTAATCGAGAATAATGGATTTTTAAGTTTTAGATAAATATTAGTCTTTATAAAAATTATTGTTTTAAAGTAGATCTCAAATTCTTTTTATAACTATGAAACCTTTCAATATTATTTATTATTATTATTATTTATTACGGAGCTGACCTTTCTATTGGAATGGCAGTGTCACGGGGCATAACATGGGTCCCCGTGATGAGAGTCGTTTAGGGCTTAGACGAAATCTTTTATTTTTATTTTCTTATTTTTGTATTTTTTTTTATTTGTTTATTTAAAAGTTGTGTATACAACGATAAATCCATAGATTAGACATCGTTAGCCACGATTGTGGTTTAGCTCACAATCGTTGTGTGCTTAGTTCCCGGTATTATGAAGGGGATTAATTATAGAAGAATCTCTCACAATCGTTGTGCCGGATCATGAACAAGCGTTGTGAGGAGGCGAAGGGAATCTAAATTGTTCTGATTAAAAGGGAAGCGCAGTAGTTCATAATGAAAAAGAATGTATTTAAAGGCCGCCATTTTTCGTTAATAAAGTTTTTCCCAGACTTCGATGTCTTTAGAAAAGTATAATAAGAATCGACTTCTCATTGTTAGAAACTGTTTAGTAAAGGACTGAACCCTTTTATATTTATTTTTTATTATTATCTCTATATTTTTATTTATTTTTTATTTTTGTATTGTTAAGCCTATACCATAGAATTATCCCTAAAACGCTACCTAATCCCATCTTAAGATTTTTACCACTGTTAAAAACCCAAATAACCATAAGGATATCCGCCCGATTTCTTAGTATAGACCTGTCTTATTGTACCAGGAGCGGAGTGATATGCAAATATCACGAAGTGTATGGTTATGAGGCGAATTAATGATGTGTGTCCGCAAAATCTTGCATTTTATTGGTTGTGGAATGAGGCGAAGCAGGGATGTGAATGCATATCGGGAACATCGCATGTTACATCTTCGCGTGCCTATGCAATGCTTTGCTTATGAAATTTTTCCTGATTAGTGTGGTACGTATGGATGACTTGCGTAAGCTATAGTGTGGAACGTGAATCAGGTTTAGTTAATTATGTGTTCGTGTAAATGTGTTGCGTTTAAGCTGGCTCGAATTTAATGTCTCAATAATCTTTACAGTATATATTCTTCGGATAGACAAATAACAATGAATTACTTTGTGATTGTTCGAACTTAAATTGGTATGCTTATTTCTTACCTATCATTTATCTGGTTTGAATGCGCTAGATAATGGTTTGCTGTAAAATATCCTTTAGAATTAACATTTGTATTACTATAGAAGTAAGTATTATACTATTATGGAAAGAGATCCAATTTACGAAGATCTGATTACTATTTTTGTATCATTGCTTTAAACACCTATCGCTAACGCTTTTCATGCGTTACTTTTACATTATAAACAATGAACTATTTGAATATGACATTGTTAAAACAATGCTTTTAAAATCATTGTTTTACATAATTCCGGAAATGTATAAGCCATGTTCATTCTTTAAACAAATTATCATTAAGGAAATTAGATAGTCCAGCCCCTAGCAAATCTATCGTAAACCAGCATGGGAACAGGTTTTATACCTCTATCGGAACCCTATTTAATTCTAGCGTAAAAAAAAAATAAAAATCTAAGCGTTTACTTATTTGGTTTAAATTTGCCAATTGGAGTATCTATTTATTAAATAATCATTCGATTTGTGAATTTTTGGAGTAAAAATACCAATTTAGTTTATAGCCGTATCATATGAG